TTCCCCAACAGAATTATTTGTATTGACTGCCTGTCAGAGGCTGTGGAAACATGCAGATGCAGAGAAAGTTCCCGCATGTGTCCTCCAGGTATCCATATGGCCCACTCTTGCGCCTCCTTCAACTCTTTGCTCAACTGTCATTTCAATGAAGACTTTTATGATCACTCCATTTCACTTACATCACCATTCAGCATATTCAGTTCTCCTTGACTCATTGTGTTGTCTCTTTTTCGCCATCCTATATAATAAAAGGCTAATATGCAAATAGACCAAATGGGAACAACCGAACAACCGGTTGCTATGACCACCAGGGGGCACACACGAAACATGGTGGGCGTCAGCCATGACGGGATGGTGGAGCAGGTGAGCAGGGTCGCCAGACCAAGGCAGGGCACCAATAGCTGTCATTGGGGTGAGCCTCTGGTGGTTACTGAAAGTTCTTTGCTCCCGTGTTGCTGTGGTCCCGCCTGGCACTCACACCTGCTGCTGGCGCTGGCCCCATTTGCTCCGTGCTGTCATCAGGTGCAAGCAAGTGGGGCCGGCACTGTGGGAGCAGCAGCGGTGGGAGCAGTCTGCCAGCAGAGAAGGGACTGGGAACCATGGTGGGAGGGGCCAGGCGGGGATGCAGAGGATGGGCTGAGACCTGCCCCTGTGCCCACGGCAGCCTCGTGGCCCACAATTCCTTTCAAGGTGCACAAATTCATGCACTGAGTCCTTAGTTGTAATATAAGCTTCATGAACCACTAGATTTGTCTGTTTGGTTCACTTGTGTATATTCAGACCTATAACCTTAAAGCATAGTAAGAGCTAAAAAGGTATTTTGAAAATTATCTTTATTTAATTGTAAGGTAACTTTTTATTTTGAGATAATTGTAAGAAATTATAAGACATGTAATGAATGAATTTAATGAAATTGTAAGAAATGGATTTTAAATTTTAGTGTCTACATGTTCCTTGCTAGCACAACAGTTAATTCCTCAGTAAAACAACTGAATGTTTAGCTAGTTTTCTGTGACCTGGCCAAACTCAGTAGTTAATTCTGTTTGTTTGTTTTTGTTTGTTTGTTTTGTTTTGTTTTGTTTTTGTAGATTCCTTGAGAAATTTTACATAGTTAATTATGTCCTCTATAAATAAGATAATTTTATTGCTTGCTTTAATTGCCTTTTATAACCTTATTGCATTGAGTAGTACTACCAACACTATGTTGAATAACACTGGTTGAAGTAGACATTTATTCCTGCCTTGTTCCTGATCTTAGGGTGGAAGCATTAAGTCCCTCAGCTCAATATTAAGTAGGATGTTACCTGTAGGTTTTTGTATTTGCTCTTTACCAAGTTGAGGAAGCTGCCCTCTATTTCTGTTTCTCTGAGATTTACAAAATCATGAATGGGTGTCAAATTCTGTCATATGCTTTAAAAAAAAATCAGTTGGTATGATTATGTTATTTTTTTCTTTAGTCTGTAAGCATGGTGAATTGCTTCATTTTCTTCAATAATGAGTTAGTCTTATATCTCTTGAATGAAACCCACCTGGCTATTATATGTACTACTTTTTATATATTCCTGAATTCTCTTTGATAATGTTTTGTTAAGGATTTTTAAATCTATATTAGTAAGAGATCTTTTGTGTTTAGTTTTCTGTTATGTTTTTGTCTGGTTTTGGTATCAGAATAATACTAAGTACATAAAACAAGTTCTACTTTCTGGAAGAGATAGTCAAGAATTGGTGTTAATTCTTCTTCATATTTGGTAGGAAAACCACGTGACCTGAAGTTCTCTTTTTTTGAGGAATTTTAAAAATGTAAATTAAATTTACTTAACAATTATAAGGCTGTTCAAATTATTTCATTGGTAGATTATTTTAATTTTAAAATTTTTTGAATAATGGGTCCATTTTACATAAGTTGTCAAATGTCTGTAAAACTACATCTTAAATTATGAGTACACTGAAGATATCTTAATGCAGAATTTTTCATTTTCTTTACTCCTGTAGTGTACCTGCAGTGTGTCTATTTCATCAACTCATTAAATATATCCATCTAATGTTTCAAGCTCCAAACTAAGTCATCTTCAATTCCTCTCTTTCCCTTATTCCCAACCCTATTTATTGTTTCAAAATATATCCAGAAAGCAATATATATCCAGAAACCAACCTCCTCTCATTTCCACTCCAGGCCAGGCCACCAGCATTTCTCACCTGAACCACTGTTATGCCCTCAGAGGTGTTCATTCTTCCACACCTGCTCCCTATGATTCACCCTTTTCATAGCAGACAGATCACAAAATGTCCCTAGTCCTTGGAGAGATATCACAAAGACTGAAATCCCAATTCCTTGCCCTGGCTATAAGGCCCTACTAGTATGCTCTGACTAGAGCCCCTGTCTTCCTCTATGCAGTCATCTGTAAGTGCCTCCTGGCTCAGGAGGTATGCCACAGCAGCTGCATCCTTCTTTTTGTTCCTTTAGGATGCTTGGCCCATTCTCTGCTTGCAGTCTTTGCACAAGCTTCTACCTGTGTTGACATGCTCTTTCCCCCAAACACCTCATGGCTGATGGTTGGCTCCTTCTTGTGTGATTTGTATCCCAGCGTAATTAAGAAATGTATTTCCTGACCACTCAACCTACTGACTTCCTATTTTACCAGCCTGGTTTCAATAGTCTCTGCAGCACTTACTCATAAGTGATATTTTCTTATTTACTCCTTGTTTAATTGTTGTTTATTATACTGACGTGCAAGCTTGGATGCAGGGCTTCCATTTCTTCCTGACTGTTCTATCTCTGGCACCTAGAACCATACATGAAACATAACAAAGGCTCAATACATAATTTCTGCATCAATGCATGGAAGTGCTCTGCTTAGTATCTTATCTTATTTCACTCTCCAACAAACAAATTAAATATTTTGATCCCCATTTTATAGATAAAAAAACGAGGCTTTAAAATAATTAGCCAAACCATACAATCGCAGTTGTGTATGTTTTCTGCCTATTTTAAACTAGGGACGCCATCCCTTATGGCAAATGCATGAGAGCAAGAATTTTAAGAAGTATGTTGCTAACCTGTGAGTATGGATCTATTTGTAGCTCAGACACTTTCAACGAAAGTCCTGAAAATTTCTGGAGAGCATGCTTCATGATTTCATTTAAATAATTATTCCACAGAGTCTGGTGGGAATGGGAAGGGTTATAGAAGACAAGGAGTTACTGTTAAATCTGTTTAATTCTAGGATTTTAAGAGTGCTTCTTTCTTTATTGTAAAAGAACACCATTTCATGCATGGTATTGTTGGGAAATACTAGTTCCAACTAGAATTCTCACAACTGTTAAGAAAAAAAAAAGAGCCTGTGTAGATATTTAAAAGCTGGAGAATACATATCCATATGTACTAAATCTCTTTAATATTTACATGTATACAAAACAAGCAAAAAACAAAATAAACAGACCAAATCCCTGGAGTATAAATTAGAATGAAGAGAAACCCTGTAGCCTGCCCAAGGATTTAAGAATGAAAAGAAAAACAAAACCCAGACAAAACCCCTTCGCCTTTAACTAAGGCAAGCCTATCGCCCTCTGGCTTTCAAAGCGACTGCCTACCGCAGTAACATTGCCTTTTAATAGAAAAGTACTTGGTGAAAATTGGAGACTCTCCCAATGGTGCCCACTAATAAAATCAGTCCATTAGGCCCTGGCCAGTGTTGCCTAGTTGGTTGGGCGTTGCCCCATGCACCACGAGGTGGCTGGTTTGATTCCTGGTCAGAGAACACGCCTGGGTTCCAGGCTCGATCCCCAATAGGGGCTGTGCAGGAGGCAGCCGATCCATGTTTCTTTCTCCCTTCCTCTCCCTGTAAAATTAATAAAAACATGTTTTTAAAAAGTCCTTTGAACCCTAGCCAGTTTGGCTCAGTGGATAGAGAGACGGCCTGCAGACTGAGGGGTCCAGGGTTCGATTCCGGTCAAGGGCATATGCCCGGGTTAGGGGCTCAGTCCCCAATAGGGGGCGTGCAGGAGGCAGCGGATCAATGACTCTCTCTCATCATTGACGTTTCTATCTCTCTCTTCCTCTCCCTGCCTCTCTGACATCAATAAAAAATATATTAAAAAAAAAAAACAAAGAAAGTCCATTGGCAGCCCTAACTGGTGTGGCTCAGTGGATAGAGCGTAGACCTGCGGACTGAAAGGTCCCAGGTTCGATTCCGGTCAAGGGCATGTACCTGGGTTGCGGGCACATCCCCGGTGGGAGATGTGCAGGAGGCAGCTGATCGATGTTTCTCTCTCATCGATGTTTCTGACTATCTATCTCTCTCCCTTCCTCTCTGTAAAAAAATCAATAAAATATATTAAAAAAAAAAAGAAAGTCCATTGGCAGGGAGCTAGCAAGTTGTAATTTGCCTTTTAGAAATATGAAGTAACTGAGGAAGGCTCTCCTCTGAGGCTAACGCAGCAAATTAGTTTCGGAGCTCAGTCACCTGGAGGCGAAGCATAGGGGCTTAAAAGTTGTGGTTTCCAGGCTACTGTATTTTAAAGCAGAAAACGACTTTTTTTTCTGATTTCCAAATACCTGAGCCTGGACAGTGCAGAAAGCAGCTGATTTTCCACCTCTGTGCCCCCGAAGTGGTGGGTATTTCTCTGTGACTGAACAGCTTCTCCTGGATGGGGAGGTAAACCTTCTACTCTGCTTTTTAGAGTCAGGGTCAGCGCCTCCAGGGAGCCGTCCCACCAATTAGGCTTTCTGAATCTGATTAACACTGTGCCAGGGAACTGTCTGGTGTCTGACCTTGAACAGCATGCTTCCCTACTTGCCTTTTATTTTTGGAAACATTTTTGCACAGCCTGGGACCCTCAGACTCACCCCGCAGCGGGCTGGATTGCATTAGCAGGCTCCTTTGATGAGTATCCGAAGGGTTGCAGCCCCAGTGACCTGTCATCTGTCCCCTCCCTGGCTTCCATGCTGATTCATTGATGAGCTGGCATCCAGGCCCCGCCTCCCTCGGAGTGGTCGGTGAGGTTGTGATCGCTCCAGGAGGGGGGATGCTGAGCTGAGCCTCCCTAGGTCCCTACAAGTGTGAAGGGCAGCCTGTCTGTGCCACAGAAGAACTTGGGGACCATTCTGAGAAGCAGCCTTTTCTCACCACCCCGTTCCTCTTCTGCCTGTCTCGGCTTCTCTAGCTTTTTACAGGAATTTCCGATTGAGGCACTAACAGCTAATTCCACAGGAGTTGTGAGGCAGCCTGTGACACAAACTGAGACAGAAGTTTCCCCTCAGAGGCTGTCTCTTTTTTATTGGCAAAGACTTCTGGCTCTCCTCAGAGGAATACCTTGTTGCTTAAGATGAGTGGCTGTAGAAAACGGTGTAAACGTGAAATATTGAAATTTGCCCAGTACCTCCTCAGACTATTAACAGGTTCTCTTCATACAGGTAATGACTTTTTTATTTTTCTTCAATCGAGACCGGGAGAGCGTGATAACGAAGTAGAAATGGAATAGGGAAGGCTCGCTGTGTTTCTGTGTTGTGTTTATTCTGAATGTTGTCAATAACATACAGTTTGTGGGTGTTTGCTGAGATGCACGTTGCTAGCAATGTGTGCAGTGCAGCTTTCACTGAGGGGCGATCTGGATTCTGTGGATGTATTTTTCATGTTTCTGACAGGGTTGCCTTGCCGTTGAATGTGCCTCAGTCTAAGCAGGCAGTGTCTTCAGTGTGGAAGGAAATTTTTTAAAAAATGATTGATTGTGTGAGGGGTTTTTCCCCTCTCTCCTGCTTGCTGCAGTTTACTGGGAAAACACATAGCTGTGTTTAGAGATTCTGCAGGTATTTAGCAATTCTGCAGGTACTTAGAAATTCTCAAATTCTTTGATCACTCTAATCCATAGATTATTTCTAGGATTTGGTCATACAGCAGGGCAGTGAGAGAGTGGAGGACGTTTCTCTTGGGTCTGCAAAATGTGAAAGCAGCTGAAGAGTAAATTGTCCATTAGAGAGGTTTGATATTTGTTTCATTGCAGGGGATTTCAGTGTTTAAAAATTTGCATGGTTGAAACAGAAACTCTTATCTACATCTAAGTTTTTATAGCAAGGAAATATTTTTAAGATGTCCCCAAATCATGAAATTTCTAGGCAATGTCTCATTAACATAGTGACAGGTGGGACCAAAACTACTTGGAATCTGTTACAGAAATAGATATATTTCAGAGACCACCAAACTTCTGACAGGCAAAGCTTGGCTAATATATTGCATTTTGATTTGATTCTCCCCATGAAGAACTATTGTATGTTTTCAACTTATATCTGTTTTCTTTAAGTTATGAGGAAGAAGAGTTTGTAACAAAACCTATACACTGTCAGGCAAGGCAAATGAGAGCAACATTTTCTCTAGGAAATATACTCTCTGGTTAATAACAGAACTGCATATCTGATTATACTGGCAACCTGAGCAGGAAAAACAATTTTGAGACAGTGACTGTGAAAATCAAATGATTTCTGAGAGCATTATTAAGTATTAATAACTATAAAAGGGTTGTTATCAGATGTGAATCTTTAAGCAGTGCAAATTGAGGTGCTTTTTGATGCTTTTGGAGTAATCGTTGAGAGTCTTTACCTGACTTTTGTCAACTTGGAGCTCAGGTGTATTTTTTCAATTGTAAATGTCTTTACATTTCTATTGTATAAACTTCCGTCCATGTGACTCTGCTCTGTAGTATCAATGTGATCAATAATATCCATGTGCTATTTGCTTTGAGTATTCAGTTCAGGGTGGTGTGCCATTTGTGATATCATGTTTCACTGGATGATACTCCATATGTGACCTTTTATCTCACCATAAAATTAGAGAAATATTTTATAAAGAAAGCTGTCCATGAGGTTTCCATGGCTGTCTGTGTTTTGCTCTTTGATCAGGCAAGTTAAGGTTCTACCTGTGTCTGATTAGATTTAGGTGCAGGGCTGTGCCTCTCTTGCTCAGTCCGTGTACAGTTTTTTTTTTTAACTCCCCACTTAAAATAATTTTATGAAGAGAGTAAATGGTTGTGAAGTCGTAGACCATAAGTATCGAATCCAAAGTAAAGTGGTTGTCAAGTGACTGGATGGTTATATAGAATATGAAGTTTATAGAAAGCAATATTGTAAGGCTTATAGAATGCATATTTAAAAGTCAATAAAAATGGGATTCCTTCTCTTCTTTTTGAGCCGCAGTAGGAAAAATACAAGAACTCTGAGAAGTAAAACAGGCAGATTATAATAAAGTAGTAAGATTAATTTTTGACCTGGGAAATGTGATTACAGCAACTTGTGTTTTGTGAAAATGCTTTTCAGCTCAGTCTCTAATGCCAAATGTTGTAAAAATCCAGCCAGAATCTTTACAACTTCTCAAAATGCAACTTGGAAAAGCCAATTTATGTATTTACTAGAAGCAGTGATAATATGCACTGTTCATATTGCAAAATCTAATGTAAAATTCATTAGGGCACTTTCAAGTCCCTTAGCTAGTAATTAATGAAGAAGTAGGAAGCAGAGTTGAATTAGTTGTAAAAATTTGCTTTAAGGTTGGATATGCAGGCAGTTGCTAACTGTATCCTGAACAATCAACAAATGTCTTGTAGTGATCATAAATTTAAAGCAATACGAATATGCCTTGCATAATTTTATTTTTCATTTTATGAAGAAGCCCTTTATCCTCACTTTTCCAAATCAAGATGTGATCTGAGGAAATAGTGATTTTGTTTTACATTGGAAAACAGGTTGATTCTGAAATAATCTGTATTGTTGACAGTTGCCTTTCATTTCATACCAAAATGCCCATGCCTTTACATGAACATAGAAGATTTGAAGTGCAAAGAAATGTTTATTGACACAAAATCGGCTTTGATATGTCTTATTAGGGTTATCACAAGTAAGGGGAAAACAGTTTTCTGAGAGCTCGTCATATAACTTTTGGCAATAACTAGAATCACATATCAATCAGTAATTTAATTGGTGATTTCCCCCCCAAATAATCTTTATGCTAGAGAGTGATAATTCAGTGGTAAAGATTTGTCCAGATAAAATAAGATACTTTCATTTTACCAGAAACATTTTACATACGAGTGCCATGGCAAATCCCTTTTCAAAGAGTGGGTTTTACAAACACATATATTTGCTGTATTTATCATGAAAATATGAGCATTGTTAAGACCTTTTGTTATAAATAATGCAACTCAGAAGTCCATTTGCAAATATAAGTTAACTAGAAGCCCGGTGCATGGATTCGTGCACCGGTGAGGTCCCTCGGCCTGGCCTGCAGGGATTGGGCTGAAACCAGCTCTCCGACATCCCCTGAGGGTTCCCAGATTGCGAGAGGGTGGTTCTTGGGTAACACACCCCAGAATCGGGTTCCCTCCTCTCTGGTTCTGGGTGCACCACCCGAGAACCACAACTGCCAAGTCATCGCAGCTCAGCAGCTCCTGAGTTGAGGGTCTGCCCCCTGGTAGTCAGTACACATCATAGTCACTGGCCGGTGGGCCGGTGGGCTGGTGTGCCAGTCACTTAGGCTTTTATATATGTAGATGGCTATCATGTTCAGTGTAGTGAGGTGCAGTACAGGAATCAGTTATCTCAATATGAGACCTGCAGTTCCGTGTGCCGTATTATATTCAGTTCTAGATGATGGGGTTCCTGGTAACCAGTATTCTTGTACATTTAAATAAGTGGAGATAATCTATGAGGAGTGTAGTATGACACTAGTAATATGAAACTTATTCTGTTGATGGGCAGTTTGTGTACCTTCAGAACCCACAGAATGTTTTATCATTTAAAAGCTGACCCATGAGGATGAATAATATTACAGAAATCAAATTTGGACTTCCTTCTTTATGTGTGAAATTTAGTAATGGAATGTTTTGTGGTACTTACTTGGCGGTTGTTTGGACATTTATCAGTTCTCTATGTATAATTTTCTTGAAAAATCAACACCTGAACACATTTTCCTGTTGGCAAGTGTTCCCAAAACGCACTTCTGAGGTGGATACAGCCTGGAGCTCTGTTTCCGGCTTCAAGACTGATATCTTCAGGTGTGGAGAAGTTTAACTCCCTGTCTAAGTGAACAAAAGCAATTTAATCAAAATATTAAGTTGCTGCTTAACTAGTGGGCTAAACTATTTCACATTTAAAGTAATTATACTATTAAAAGCATGTGGTAAGCGTTCATCATTTCATCTAGTAGAGAACTTCAGAAAAGAGAGCATGAGAGCATTTGTTTCACACATTTGCATCGAGTGGTTTGTTCTGTGGATCAAGATAGTCACAAAAGGAATGATACAAATATTTAGATATCTTCATGTTGCATTTTAAAATTTTATATATATATATATATAAATATATATATAATATATATATATATTTGTTGATTAAAAGATTTTAAATTGAATTTTAGAGAGAGAGAGGGAGAGAGAGAATCATTGATGTGAGAGCAAAACATGGGCCAGCTGCCTCCTGCACGTCCCCTATCGTGGATAGAGCCTGCAACCCAGGCATGTGCCCTGGCAGGGAATTGGACTGGCAACCTTTCAGTGCATGGTTGACATTTAACCAACTGAGCCTCACCATCCCAAGCATATTTCCCTGACCTGGAATGGAACCAGAGACCTCTTGGTGCACACACACTCACCATTGAGCTATACTGGCCAGGGCTAGTTTGCATTTTTAAGTGTGAAGAGAAAATAGTAACCCTCAGCAAAATCAGGTAACTAAGAAGGCCTGTCTCTGGTCACATGTAGCATCCCTTTCTGTTCCCTTCTTTCCCTTCCAGGTTACCAGTCACAGGATCATGTTGGCAGGCCCCTCTAACCTCCTCTTCTGTCTCCCCTCTCTGCCACATTTGAACACAGGGCAGATGCATCTCAGGAAAAGGGTGTTTGTGAAGGCCTCACATAATTAAAAATTCACAAAACTCAAGTTTAACCCAGGCAAAAGATGACAGGTGTTTCTGTTTCCCAGTTCATATGGCCCTGACATGCAACAGTTGAATAAGCAGTTTATATTCCCTTGGCGTATCAGCTCTGAAATCATGCTAGTCTTGATCAATTTTAAAAAATTTATTCATATATTGCTGATAAAGTGAAATTAGATTTCTTATGGCACTATGTAAAATTCGCATTATTGAAATGCACATAAAATGCCACCATTTATTAGTATACTCAGTCTTGTGCTTCTTCTACTGAAACCTGCCCTCAGGTAAGAAGAAAGCAAAGAAGGTTGATGTCCTGTGTACTTAATTACCAAAGAATATATGTCGTTGCATGCTTTTCCCCCAGCAGAGTTTACATTTTAAACTTTATCATAGGAATTATTTTGTCTTTTATTAACGAGTTTAACGTTTCTATTAGGAGTAAAGGTATATTTTGAGGGACTCAACATTTTGCCTAATAATCTCAAGGTCTGCAAAT